CCCTCCGCCCTCCTGGTCTACTTTCTCCCGTGCAAGTGTCACTGTCGACTTACTCTGTCATTTACTTGTTTAACTTGCCAACAGGCTCTCTTCCCAGGAGAGCTGAGCTCCCGCGAGCCGCCGGGGCACCAGCGAGCGCCTGCAGTTCACGGCTCTCACACCCGCCGCCCTGGAGTAACAGGTCCCAGCTCCGTGCTTCCACGCGTCCTGCGGCAACGCAGCCAGAGCGTCTCACACACACAGGCACACATCTGGAAGTGCCATCGCTTGACACCCTCTGCCTCTCGCACTGCAGTCACGTGCCCCACCCTGGCAAGGCGCATCCCACCCTCCAACTGCGGGAAAGGAGGAAACCTTCAGGCCTGTGGGTGCAGGTCACGGCTCCCCACATCGGACTTGCAGGACCCCCTCCGCCACCCATGGCTCTCTTCTGGCCACGCCCCCAGTCATTTTTCAACTACAGGGACCCCTTGAGGAAAGGGAGGCTTCAGCCCTATTGTGGCCCCAGGCAGTGGGGGGTGGAGCTAGGGTTGAACCAAGGTAGGGGGAGGGGGCTCCTGAGATGTCCCTCAAAAGAAAACCATCAAGTTGAGGCCTGTACCCCTGCCCTGTGGCTTCAGGCCAGAGCGCCCTAGCGACGCAGGTTCCCGGCTGGGCTCAGGGAATGTTCAGCAGATTCCGGCGCTGCCCTTGCACTGCTTTCCCGGGGCCTGGGAGCCAGGCCCGCGAGCCCGGAGGCTTCCTGGAGGAGGGGGTAAAGGAGAGCGGGGGAGAGGGAGAGGGGAAGGAGCAGATGAAGGAGGGGAGGACCAGGTTGAGGAGAGGTGAGCGCCCCAGCGGAGGGAGGACTGGCCAAGGCCCCGCGCACCAGGCCGGCCGCTCCTGGGACCGAGTCCGGTTGCGGGGGTCGGATTCCGCCGCGCCTGCCTCCGGCCCAGTCCTCGGCCCCCTCTTCTCCCGCCCGCCCCCCCAGCTGTGTCACCTCCCAGCCGGCCTCAGGCTAATGGGCTGTGACAACCCAAGCCCTGAGCAGCTGAGCGGTGTCACCGTGAATTAGGCAGGCGCTGAGCCCGCCAACAGCGAATTACTCGTCACTGCTCGGCTGGCGCGGGGCCAAACGCGTGCGCGCGCGGCCACC